TTGTCGTCTTTCACAGCTTCCACGACCGCCCTCCAAAGAACCCTGGCCTTCATGCTGCACTCGATGTATCTCCCTAGCGGGTCGTATAGGGATGCGAGTGTATGACTCACCATGCGCTTAGTCACCAAAGACGAGTTGCCATCAACGGGTAGTAATTTAGCCGAGAAAACCGGGGATAGAAGGTCGTTTTTGAGAACGTAGCCGAGGAGCTTATTGTCCTTGTCTTCATCCCACGTCTGATAGCGTTTAAGCGGTGGAAAATGAAAACCACGGAGCTTTGCGGGTGCTTCGACGATGTCATAGTGCCAGTTCACCTGTGCAACCGTATCGCCGGTAACAGCATAGTCGTCAACATAGTCGGCTAGTTGAAGCCCCTCTCCCTCATCTATCGATGAGGAGAGGAAGGCCTCTTGTATGGTAGGCTTACAGTAGTTGAAGATAGCGGAGTCGTAGAATGCTGGACATACGATGGAGTGCTCTAGTGAAGCAGGTGGTACCAATGTATCTGCTAAATGGTGAGCTTCTTGTATCCAAACTTCTGTTGCAGCTTCCAAGCCTCCTGGGCTCGGACCGGCACCGAATGGCATCGATGTCCAGAGCAACATATAGGTTTCAGATCTCGTCTGAGTGAGAGTTCTCGCCTTCATAACTACTGTAGCACAAGTAGCTGCTGACTTGGCACTCAGCAGAACTTGGTTGAATGCTTTCTCGAGGTCCATGACCCGACAGACTGGCCTCGAGCATACCCGAATCAGGAATTCCCAGAGATTCCACCTTGTGATCGTAGGCAAGCTGAAAAGCTTATTCACGGGGCGCATATCGTAGACGATGCGGCATGGTGTTGTCGGGCTATCCTTGAAGACTGCTTGCGCAGCAGTGAAGACCGGTAGATGACTGTCGAGATAGTTATCCTCGACCAAGTGGGTCTCCTGTATACGAGGATTAGAGGTGTAGAGCCGAGCAATACAACGAGCAGGAGGTGGATGTTCTAGAGATGTCAGTTTGATGTAGCCGACAAAACCAGAGGACAACAATTTATCAATACTATCATTGATTTGTTGTCTTTGATGTAGATTCTTCCCGTGGGAAGATTTCTGTGCCCGAGCAACCGCTGCACGCCAACCCGTACCCTGTAGAGCTTCAAAGGCTGCCTCATCGATGAAGGTAAAGTCCGCCACCAACCTCCCGGTGCGAGTGGAGTCAATATGAATGACTTCTCTTGGGAGACGGCGAGGCACTATGTCTGACTCCTTATCTACTTCCGCGTCGGAGTTGATATCGACAAAGCTCAGCAGTGGTTGTGTATGCAGGCATTGCGAATGATGGTGTAGTTGACCTGGTGGGGCTGCAAGAGAATGCAAAGTGAGCTCAATGTCAGGTTCGTGGTCAATGTTGATGGCACACGTTCTGAGAGGGTGAGACGGCACTCGCCATGGCGTCAATGTAGTTCTACCGTTAGAACGAGCTCGAGATGGCTGCCCCTCCTCTTCCTGAGAGGACCCTACCGCACCAGTTTTAACCGAAACCTTACCACGAGGAGAGAACTCTAGCCTAACCCCAAGGGCTTGCAGCGCCGGTACCCCAATCACCAGCGGTAGGCTAAGATGATCTACAACATATGCCGTAATAACAGCTGATGCTTTCGGAGTGGTGAGCCTCAGGGAACAAGTGCCTCGCAGAGGAACCCGCGATTTGTTGTCAGCCAAGGTGGCTATACGCTGCGACTTGCCCTCTGGCCACGACACAGGAGTATTCGCTCTAGCCGCTAACGTGTTGATCACATCGGTACGGACGAAGCTACCGGTAGCCCCCGTATCCCACAGCGCCAGTACACAAATATCTGCGCCTGGCAGCTGCGGGATACTAACTGACAAAGGTGTCTTTACCTGAGGGCCTTTGAGGGTAGGGACATTAGTTTGCACCACCGTAGGAGAGTCGTACTGCGTTACTACAGTAGGATGCGTTATCCTAATAGCGAATATATCTGGTATGGCCTCCTCCCCCTCGGGAACGTCATCGATGGTAATGGCGGCATTGCATACTGTACGTTGCTGGCCTTTGTCACCGGAGTTGACGTCTTTGATAGATTGATGGTCATCGTCAGCAGATGGTTGGCTGCTTCGCCTCTCATTCCGTCTAGCTTGTCTCCCCGACTTCGACTGCTGACGGAATGTTGGAGCACTCCTGCATGCCGCGGCGAAGTGGCCTTCTTTGTTGCACCTGGCGCAGACCTTGTTAGTTGCTGGACAAGGCGTGCCACCACCATGCGCCCTAGCGCATCTCGAACAGGTTCCTGTTGCCAGATTAGGTAGCTTCAGTAGACAGTGCCTCACCCCTCGGCAACTCGGATCTTTACAGCCCCTTGCGCATCCAGGTTCCCCACTCGGTAGCTGGCCCGCGTTGATGCCGTTGAGGTATATTTCATCGAGCTCTATGACAGGTGGGGGGAGCTTGGGGGAGGATCGAGTCCCGGAGTTGACAGGTTTGGCTGGTGTTGTCTTAGAGGACGTCGACTGTGCATAGCTCATGGATGTGTTAGTAAGGTCAGTACTTCGCTTGCGGTCTACCACCTCCTCGACTATCTTCTCCATGAAGTTTTTGAGATTCAATCGACCATGTTGCAGTAGTTTCCCTTGGAGCTCTCGATCAGAGAGCCCGCAACGGAGTTTGGCTTTCACTCTCTCTCGGGTCTTTCGAGCCCGCTAGGCGAAGCTCAGTGAC